ACTGACATCTGAAAGTTAAGTGCATGTTAATTACATAATAGCTGATACGACAGCTGATAAAAGCCTTTTGTGATTGTTAAAATAAAAAAGTGAACACAAAGTGCTGCATGTGAAGAACAGAGGTATTCTGCTGCGGCAAAGCTGGCTGCAGTTGTCCCCAGGGAAGAGTTAATTACCACTGTGCCACTATATCAATGAATATTGGAGGAGAAAAGACTGTCCTCAGGGTAGACAAAGGGAGGATGTGCTACTTTAAGTTTACTCAACCATTCCAAATGGGATATCCTTAATAAAACCACAGGGAATAAACATTTAAGCAGGTCCCTTACTTTTAATTGAAAAAATATTGTTTTAGATTTATGTTTCTACAGGAAGTTTGTTTTATTCAAGATACAACACTGCTTGTTCAGACTCTTCAGAGCTTTTTCTTTAATAGTACACAAAAAACGGGTGCTGCTTGCGTCGTCAAACCGGACACAAACAGGAAACTACAACAGGGACTTTACATCATCTCACAAAACACACAGGCACAGAAATGACAAGCCTTTCTCTACGATTCTCTTAGTTGAACTATTTGAAACTAAATCAGAGGTGCACAGGGTAGTTTCTGATTTGAAAAAGGATTTCTGCAGAAGAACAAAAGAAGCCGTTCGTTGACTCTTCTCTCTTCATCTCACAAATGCAACATGGCTGAGAGGTAACAAATGATACATTTTGTCTTTACAACCGACTCAAATTTTAAGATAAGGACCAGCTTTGTCAAAAACAGGGGAACAATAGGAGTACATTTATGTCTCCTGAGATACTTCTATGACTTATGTATCCTATATGGCGAATAACTGGACATCATGCACTCAGTTGTACTTTTAGAGGCCCTGAAAAGCATGCTTATGTTACCAAGAAGTAAACAGCAAAACTGCAAGGGGTAGAGAACAGAACCTTTGAAAATTTTGGGCCCCTAAAGGTACAACTGTGTGCTTTCTTTTCTTAAAGTGAGTGCATGAAAAACCTTAATCTGGTAAAAGGGGGGCTCATCGCAGCACCATTCGGTGTTTTGAAGAAAGTGGGTTTATAACAATGATAAAACGCTTTGCCCTCTGGTGTATAAGGTCTTATAAACAAACAGAAAAATGAAAATTCTTATTGCTTTGTTCGCTATTCCTATGATTATATTTTCTGTTTTTAGACAGATTCAAAAGGAAATGTGCATATTTAGTTTTCTTTATTTATCTTGTGTCATTTTTCCCACATTAAAGGAGGGCAGCTCATCTGAATACAGCACCTCTTTCAAGTCAAATGAGCTGAGTGAGGGAAGCCCCAGGAGACATCTGCTCCCCCTCCTTTTCACCATTGTTCCATATTCATTTTAGTCCAGTTATTTCACATTTGTCCTTTGACTTTAGTCCAACAAAAACTGAGAGACATAAAATTTTGAGATGATTCAAATGTTTTCTTGGCTTGTTTCTGCAGTTGTTCATCACCAGAAACAGATGAAATTCCGGAGACATTTATTCAAATTTTAACCAACATAAACATAAACAAACAGAAGTATTTTCAATTCATGGAGCAGCACTTTTGAAAGCTTAAGCGCCTTTAAAGCTTTTCAGAGAGTGAAAAAGTTATTAATTTGCATAATGTTAGAAATAAACATGTTAGAGGGGTTTCCTTTAACTCTGACTTTTCTCCTGGGAGGTTCTTCCAGAAAACCTTTTTATCCTCAAGTACTGAGAAATGAGGAAGTATTTTATAGTCCACAGAGCATACGGAGCTAAATTTATACCAACTTTCAGCAAAGCTGCCCCAAACTTCAAAGGGCCTTTCAGCACAGTCTCATAGCAACCAGCGGCATATCACACATGAACTAGTTCAGCTGAACTTATCTCTCACCGGATCTCAGAAACAGGCGACTGCCATGTACCCTGAACACGTTCAAAAGAAGGCTGCAGTGCTTAACAATAAAATCTTTTTTAGATTTCAGAAGTTAGAAATCCTCAAAATGAGGCTCTTTGCATTCAATGATGAAATCAAGTTTATTACAGTTTTTAGTGTCAAAATGTCATATCTTTGAATCTTCAAAAACTGGATGATAGTATATAAGTGTTAAATAAGTCTACAATTAATGCTTACATAAAAAACAAACTGCTTACCTCCCAATCTAAACGTGAAAAATGAAACATTCATCTCAGCAGAAAGATATTTAAAAGCAGATAAATCAATACAGTCTTCATTAACTGGGACCCTGCAGCAACCACCCACAACTGACCCGTAACCGACCCATTACTCACACAAATAAACACACACCGTTGCACAGTTAAGTCCGTAGCTCCACTAGCTCTTGTATTATGATGAGTAGTCGATAATGTGTAGGCTGCTGGTGGTCAAAGCTGCAGGCTCACTGTTCAGAGAGCGATGGAGGTCTGAGGCAAATCAGGGTGAAAAGTTGATGGACAAACTCTGTGAGATGAAAACTAATGAAACACAGGAGCAGAAGACTGATCTAAAAAAGAGGTACAAAGGGCTGCCCTTGGGAAAAGTTTGCATGAAGAACAAGTTTAACACTATATGGAATGCACTGCCACGTGATTACTGCCATTTTGATGAGATTTAAAGGAGAAAATCATTACTCCTATATTAGCTTAGCAATGCATACAGAGAAGGAGCATTCGACCTATATCCATTATCCACCATTATTACTTTAATCAGCACATTAGAAGTGTTCAATTGATATAATTTGTCTCTATTTGTGATAGCAGTGCATGAAATAGCTATACTAGCTGTGATGGGTATTAACTGTTCCATTAGTTTTCATAGCTTGTGAGCTGTGAAATATGCTTATGTTATTACTTTGTAATATGCTTATTGAGTAAACAGCTGGAGATAGCAAAACTTTTAGATTATGTGCCCATAAACTTTCTATTTGTACGCCTAATTTAATGAAAATGTGAAACACAAAAATTGAAATGGAATTTTACTGTTTATCACATGATCAGCTTGCATGTGTGCTAATTAGCAAGTTAATAAATGCCAATAAAAACAAATCTAAAGCTCATAACTAATAATAGATGTTTTTTTTGGGGGGGGATTATTAAATATTTTAATGTAATGTTAAATTTTGTGTTTACCATGACTTGTGTACAATTCATATGAATGGAGAAAATGCAGCATGAAACATAATTCTACATCGCAAACCGGAAGAAACATGTTTGACATTCAACTTTAAATGTGTTATTTACATAAGACGTTCTCCTCTGAAAGATGATGCAATGGGTCATTTGTTCATAGAGGCAGTATATACAAATAGTTCATTCATGGATGTGGATAGTGATCTTGAGAGCAAAAATGACAATAATAGCTTTTAGGAAACATAAATTCTTGTAGGTAGAAATGAACTTTTTTTTATTTAACCCATGAAGATTTGATGTCAAACAAAAAAAAAAAGTGTTGCCAAAAATCAAGGTTTGAAAACACATTGTGGTGTTACCAATAACACCAACAAACGCCTCCACAAGGTGTTGGTAGCCAACATGACTATCTGAGTAAAGCCAATGCATAAACACCTAAATCCCATTAAAAAGTGTGAAAAGTGTAATAAACTTGGATTCCATTCTTTTAAATGTTTCATGGCTGACAATGCTCCAAATAAACAATCCTTCAAACTACCCTTCTCCCTCTTTTGTGGTGCGCTAAAGAAAACGTGATTGTTTTCATCAACAGTGGAAATGGTTATGATCAGTTTTGCCCTCCTGCCTCCCGTAGGGACAGATGTGGGCCTTATTTTCTGGCTTGGGGACTTTAGAAATTAGAAAACAATAAACAAATACAAGAATCTGAGGACAATTCATATCATATATGGAATTTATGGCAGAAAAAGACAATAAGACACCTACATCTCAGTAATTGTGGTCGACATGAGGGGTTCACTGTTCAGCAACGTGTTTACATAATGAGAAGATTTCGTCATCATACATGTGTTTCTCTTGTAAATTTAGTTTTATTTCCTTACAAATTTCTACTTCAGTCTGAAACAATATCTTACTCATTCTTTTAAACGTTCTTCTTATAAATGAAAATATATTCAGTCAATAATTAATCTATTCTTGCAAATTCATTTATTTGAATTTAACCAATTTATGGTGGTCCTAATGTGTTTTTTTTAATGTCCAGAAAATAAATCTCTCCAGCTTTTAAAGCACAAGTGACAGCTTAATAGGACATATTTTGTGCACCGAACAGGCACCCCAGGAAAAAACAAACAGAATTCTTCCATTTTAAGAGACAGGAGCTAACAGATGTTTTTCCTCAACTTATGACTTGTATAGCCAAATCAATTCATATAAACTCAACTGAGCAACTCAATGCTATCTGTGCGTGGTTCAGCTGTATAATATCTTGGCATGTATAAACATTACAACTCACCTACTACGTGTACAGTTTGTTTAATTACAAAAGGAAACTTTAAAGCCATGTTGATTGTGAATTCTCCAGATAGTTCTGAAACAGACGTGGATCCTGCACAGTTTGTTCCAAGAGAACGAGAGTCCGGTCTCTGCACTCTAACACTTGCCAGAGACACCAAGCTGAGCCTCAGCTCAGCTCATCAACACTATGATAACTGATGAACTTCTACAAAGCACAAACAAAAAAACTGGAAATCTGGCCTCTGTTAGTGAACAAGTGTCAGCTTGGCTGTCGGAGATTAGATCTGGAGTGCTTTTGCAAATGTTCCCTCAGGGATTGTAGAAAGAACAAGAGGGAGGTGGTCCAGGATTTAGAGGAAAGTCAGGGTTTGAAAGTACATTTTATCCTAATTTCATTCCCCCCAAAAGAAGAATAAAGCTGTGCAACGACAGAACAGTTTGTGTATCTCTTGCTGCCAACTTCTTCCTTTCCTTAGCTCTGTTTCTTTAAATGAGTTTAGCCCCCTTTTCCCTCAGCTGAGTCCGGCCCTGAGGAGAGCGGGGGGGCTGGAGGGGGTTCCGCGGCCGCCCGCGCGGCCTCGCTCAGCCGCAGGATATGACGGTGAAGCGTTTGGAGATGCAGGACATGTTGTGCAGCACGATGCCCAGCAGGAAGAGCAGCACGCACGCCACCAGGATCACCGTGCACACTCCTGACCAGGTGGAGCCCTTCCCCGCCCCCGCCGGGCCGGCCACTCTCCTCTCGCCCTCGCCTCCCTCCAGCCCCACGGCCTCCAGGCCCACGGCCAGCCCGATAGGCCGCTGCTCCGGAACGGTCACCACCGCCACCCCCTTCTGCTGCCCGCCGGGCAGGAAACGGCAGCCCAGCTCCCCGGGCAGCCCCAGCGCCCGCTCCTTAGAGACGGGCAGGGGCAGCATGTAGCAGCCGTTGCTGGGGAGGTGGATGAAGACGGGCGTGTGCTCCGAGGCGTGAGGGATGGCGATGACCGTGATGATGTCCGGGTCATCGGGAAGCTGGGAGACGGACAGGCCGGGGGGCAGTTTGGTGACGCCGCGGCACCAGGGACAGCGGATCTCCTTCTGACTGCTGCGCATCTGGGTCAAACACACCGAGCAACAAGTGTGCCGGCAGTCCAGGAGTTTGGGCCGCCGCCGAGGGCTGTAGTAATTAAAGCAGATCTGGCACTCCAGCATAGAATCCTGGGAAAGAGTCTCCATTTTAGTAAGGCGTCTTCACTGGCTGGTAAAAAGCAACTCAACCAAATAAATCTAAAAAAAAGAAAAAAGGTTCTGCAGCTCCCAAACAAGCAAAGGTAAGTTGAACTTATTTTTTGTCTCCTTTGATGGTCCCAGACTTCGCAGGGATGTCACAGTCCTCCGGCATGGTTTGTAACCTGCAACAGAAGGACAAGACATTCATATGTATTTAGTCTATATCAAATTATTTCCAACCTTTATTAAAAATGACTACCATGGCCACAAGCATGCCAACCATCTGCAACTAAATCTGCTGCATCCACTTGTTGGTGTTTGAACTGCATCCTTGTTATTTAGAATTTACCAGCATCTGTTGCTTTTTCTGTCCCTTTGCATATCAGTGTGTTCTTTTGTTGATGTGTTTATGTGCAATCTTAAGCGTGATGTTTACCAGGTAGCTCCAAAAATACACCTCTGGCTGTTTTAGGTAGATCTTGACAGTTTCTTTGCACCCTGGAATATTTTTTTATTGATCTCAGCTGCATTTTGATTGTCTTTACTATACTGAATAAATCAAAACAAATAAATTCCTGATGGATGAACTCTCCATTACTCAAATGAGCCTTGCAATAAACATCTAGGGAATGATTGTTTTTCCTTCTCAACATGCACTTGACATAGTGAAGGTGCATTTAAAGCTGCTTCTGTCCATGTGGTCTGAGGGAAAAGGGAGTGGTCATCTTACAGAGCATTCAGTCTTTTTTTTTCTTCAGTGGGTTTAGGTTAAAAAAAAAAAGAACAGCTTGGTTATGGTTGGAAAAAACGGTCTGGCTAAAAATAAAGGAGTTGAACAACTATTCATTTCTGCTTTTCAAAAAGAAATGTAGATAGTATCCAAGGTTTGTAGAATCTGTTAATACAAGCACAAAATTATTGTGTCTAAGCAGCAACTTCACTTTTTGCGCGGATTTACTTTGCCACTGGGGAACAAAATCAAAGTGAATCCAGCAGTAAACTGAATCCTGATCAGATGTCTCAGCAACTTCACAGTCTCCTGTCCATGTGAAAGAAAGAGCTCCAGCCCTTTCTGTACTTTAAAGGAGCAGTGGCTGCTTCTGTTTATCTTTACATTTTCTGGGATGCAGCAGCGCGACTGTTTCGACACCCACAGGTGGACCGGCATGCTAAAACTGGTTTTACTGACTCTCAAACTACGACAGACTCTCAAACTATGACTGAAAATGGGTCACAAAAACATCCTATTTTTTTTTCTCTGTTTTGACTTTTTGTGGAGCCTGCATGACCACCACAGAGCATCACGGACAATATGGAGTCAGAACTCATTACACATAGCAGCTGACCACATACATTTAAAATATAGCCGAGTCTTCTGTCTCTGTCAGGGCACGGAGTCCATAAACAGTTCCTTCCTCCCACTCTTCTTGCATAATCATGTCCACCGTGTTAATCCATGCAGAAGCTTTGATAGTTTGCTTTTACAGATGATTAAACCCTGTCAAAATAGCACTGAAGAAACAATGAATACCAAACAGGGGCCTTTTGCCAACTTCATATCTCATTTCTTGCTCAAATTGTCAAGTGTAAAATATGCTGAAGAGGGCAGATGACTCGATATTTCTTTTTTCATTCTCTACGCTGCAATCTCAGAGGAATCCCTGTCCCTCTGGGCACAATGGTGAGTGAGAAGGGAGGGAGAAGGGAGATGGAGAGGCAGGCACGGACATATAAATGGTGACAGAAACGGAAAATAGTGATCACTGATTGCCTTGTAACATTGTATATTTTAGTCCTTTATCAACAACAAGATCTTAGTCAATTACACTGCTCATCACACCTGCTGGGGCTGCAGATGTGGCAACGAGAGATAAGAGTCACCTCCAACAAATTCAGTACGGTTTTAGGTATATAAGGAATATCAGCTTGGCTAACAATGTAATTACAGACACTAAGAGTACTGGTACAAAGAGACACAGTTTAATTTATGCTTCACCACTCACGCACCACAGTGACAGTCCGATGACTCACAACTGTGTCTCAATTTTAACAGATAATTAACAGTTCAGGATGTTGAGTTTAAGATTTGGGTCAAAGTACCATAGCCTCCCAGAGCTGTTAGTGTGGCTGGTAAAGCTGTCAAAAACATTTATGAAAAGGAAATAAGTAAAGAGAAGGGTTTCATTTGTACATGTTCACGTCATTTCAATCTTGCATTTTAGGAGCCCATCACACCAGAATGAGCAAAAAAGTTTACTTTAAAATTTGAGCCTTTGCAGTCAAGACAAGCGTGCATACCGGGCTCCTGTAGACAACACGTGGCATATTAAATTATTCAATTATTTATTAAAGAATAACTGAGCTTGAACGATGGACTCAAAATACTTTGGAAATTGGCCCAAAAAAAGATTTATAGGTGGCATCAACTGCTTCGCTAAGATAATTGCTGATGTCTTTCCTCCTTGGCATTATGTTAACTCTCATCTGAAGGCTTCAAGGCAGTACAGTGAGCAATCTCCTGCTTTCCCTTCCTCAGGGCTTAAAAAACAGATAAGAAAATTACCCATTTAATTAAAAAACAGATTGTCTGTGGTCAGACTGCAGACAGACTAAAAAAATTAAAAAGTTTTATGGAACAGAATTTTCATATTTAAGAATATGAAGTAAAAACAGGGCCTTTTAGATTTCTGGTTGAGTGTGTCAGTTTGTAAAGTCTATCCACGTCCACAGGCATCATCCATGTCCCTGCGCAACCTCCTGCTCCTCTCCCTCACCAGCAACACCTCCCTGGGGGTAAAACACTCCCTCCTCAACTGAGTCCAGAGGCCAGACCCTTCACTCATCCTGCCCCCCTCTCCACTCCCTGGCTGACCTAGTTTCTCCATGCTAACTCAAAGTAGAAAAAAAGGTGCATACAAATCCGACTAGTTCTTCAGGGGAGTGAAGAAGATGAACAGAGGGAGACCAAGACAGAAACCTGCCCTTAACGGGGATGACAGCCTGGGGTTTTTCGGAATCCTCTCTCAAAAGATAAGGTTTAGCTTTGATCTGACATAAACGCATTGTGGCTCAACACTACCATTCCCCCTTCATCCCTTCTGAGAAGCCTGTCCTCCTCTACATCAGTTCCTCTGACTTTTCATTTTTCTCCCTCGGTCTGTTTTCTTACCAAACACTTTGCACATATGGAGGACAGAAATGTGGCTGCAGCATGTAGACACAGTGAGCAGCAGCACTGACACAGTAAGCGTGCATACAGCAGTAAAATAAACCTTTAACTCATTTACCACAACCTGTAGAACAGACTGAAAGAAAAAGGAAAGTTGAAATCACAAATATCACTGTGTATTTGTTAAATATTTAGAGAAAAGACAAAAAAATAAGATGGAAAAGTGATCTTCAAAAACAGCTTTGTATTCCAAGCTCTATTAAACTAGTATATTTTAAATCAGAACATTTGTAAAAAATAAAAAATAAAAATAAAAGCTTTAGTAACGTAGAAGATGCATTGTTTACAGCAACCTAAATGTTGCCACTGAGGTTGTTTGTGGTAATAAAGAGCTCAATTTTCCTCAGAGACTGTGGGAAACAAAAGGACTGCTGTTGAAGTTTCTGAGGCCAGGAAACAGCAGCCAGGAGCTTGTTGAGCAAATTATACATGTTTTATCAGTTCAGCTAAGCCGTAACCAGGGCAACCTGCTGATCCACTTTCGGTCAGACCGACAAACTGCAGAGAAAATAAATATCCCCAAAAGATAGAGACACGGTCTCAGTTTCAAAGATAAGAGAAAAGTTCATGTTTGCGTGGGGACAGGAGGGATGACTGATTCGGGAATGATGCAAAGTGACTGAGCAGCAGCCTCCATCTCCTCAGCACGCCGGCAGTCCACTGGGAGCAACCAACAGAAAAACACACACAACCTCCAGTCATCTGACACAGGAGAAAATCAGAGGTTAAAAATAACCACGCAGACACCCAGTATGAGCGTGACCCGGCTGACATAATAAAGTAGCTGGAAGCGGCGTGGAGGAGAGGCCTTCCCCCGGCCACCCGAGGAACCCCTCAGGAGGCTGGAACCAGGGAAATGTCAGCGCCGCCGTGACGCAGAGGGATGCAACTGCTCAAGAGGGGTTTTTCAGAAAAAAGAGCAACACTCCACGGGAAACCAGCAGCCTGGCTCATTTTGATGTTCATTTATTTCTTTTATGCATTATTCCGGGCCGTGCAAGTCTTTAGGAGCCAAAGAGTAACAAATAACCAAACTAACCGCCAGTGTTTTCATTTTAGACATTTACGACAGCATGCTCTATGCAGTGATCTTCTGTTGAATGGAAAACATTAGACTGTTGACACCTGATTTTAATGCTTTGTGTGTCGCTGATGCTGGACTGTAGCTGTTATATTTTCCGTGGTTTGCCCAGTTCAGGGAGCTCAGACTTTGGTTGTCATTTTTTTCTTTTCTTACAAAATATTTGATAAGCTTAAAACAAACAACTTTATTTCTGTTTCTATTAATACAAATAGGTGGGGGAAATGACAGATGGGTTCATTTTGAAGAGGAATACATTATGAAACAACTTATTTCTGAAAGAAGGAACTCACAACTGTACATCCAGAAGGATGATGGTTTTTGAGAACCTGTAATCTGTACCAAAGAAACACATGCTGCTACCAGCACCTTTTTTTGTGTAGGTGTAATATTTGCCATGTAGCACCCACAGTTTTGGGTGAGTTCATGGCTGAAGTGGTGTGTGATCTACCAGCAGAGATGGTGTGTTATGAAAATCAGCTTGAAGATATTTACTTCCTGCAGCGCCATAAAAAGTAAATATCTGCTGAATATGATATCATCCACTGAATTTGATCCAAACTGGTCCCATCTGTGAATAAGTCTAACTCATGTTTATAATAAACGAAAATGCTAACACAGACTGAGATCATCAGCGTTCTTGGCTGATTTCCTCCATTTTTCTGAGTTTGACTCAAAATACACAAAAGAACAGCC